TTTGCTATCAGTTTTGTGAGGTAGGAGAACAAGCATAACATCCCTATTTTACAAATGAGAAAATAGTAAGCTAAAAAATTTAAGTGATTTGCCAAAATCTAGTTTGCTAAAACTAGAACAAAGATCTTACACTTTTAGCTTTGTAGTACTCTCTCTGCTATCTCATGCTGTCTCTACTCTTGCATTAAGTAAAATTATTATAGGTGAAAGCCATGCATTTTTTTTTTTTTAATTAGAAACTGCACTGAAGGCACATGTCTACTTGATTCAAGAAGCAGAAGAGATTAGTGGTCAAGAGTATGGGTTTTTGAGTCAGGCAGGCTCTCTTTTTCCATATTTTGTGAATTTAGATAAATCAGTCAACCCCTCTGTACTTCATGTTTCTTAAATAATATTAATACAACTTAAGTTTCAAGTAATTCTCATTTAATTTTGAAAATTAAATGAGGCTAACATTCTTAAAGCACAATGCCTGGCATATGATATCCATTTATTACAGCAGTACTGTCTATACAGTTTTCACTGGCCAATTTTTTTCAGAAGTAGATTGTCAGGTCCTTCTTCTGAGTCTATATTAGTCTGAAAGCTCTGCTGAAACCTGTCCACAATGAGTGACTCTGATGATATTTGGAAGAGAAGTGGCATATCTTCCAGTGTCAGAGCAGCATGTAAGTCACTGCAGTATGACAAACTGACAAATCATCGATCGCTTATATGCAAGTTCAAGTTGAAGCTAAAGAAAGTTAAAATAAGTCCACAAACTATGTATGACCTTGATGTATCCTACTTGAATTTAGAGACCATCTCAGGAACAGATTTGATTCATTGAACACTGGTGACTGAAAATCAGAGGAGTTGTGGAATGACATCAAAGACATAATACATGAAGAAAGCAAAGATCATTAAAAAGGCAGGAAAGAAAGGGAAACCCAAAATGAGTAGACTGTAACTTGCTCTTGAACATAGAGTAACTGTACAAAATTGAAGAAATGATTAAATAAAAGAGCTGAACAGAAGATATTGAAGGGTGACTCAAGAAGACAAAGTAAAGTATTATAATGAAAAGTGTGAAGACTTGCAGTTAGAAAAACAAAATGGAAGAAAATGCTCAGCATATCTCATGCTGAAAGAATTGAAGAAAGAAGTCAAGCCTCAAGTTGCAATATTTAAGGATTTTGTGGGAAACAGAATGATGCAGGAAGCATTAAAAGAAGATGGAAGGAATACACAGAGTCACTCTACCAAAAAAGAATTGGTTGATGTTTAAGCATTTCAGGAAGTAATATATGACCAAGATATGAAATATATGAAAGTAACAGTCAAGAAATCAAACGTTGTATTTCATTTGGGAAATCCTCTGCAAAAAACCTCTTTAAAGTGTTTATAAGTAAAGATATCATCTTGAGTACTGAGGTTTGACCAAAGCCTGCTATTTCAATCATCTCATATGCATACAAAAGCTGGATAATGAATAAGGATAACCAAAGAAGAATTAGTGCATTTGAATTGTGTTGGTGAAGAATATAGAATATACCATGGACTGCCAGAAGAATGAACAAATCTATTTTGGAAGAAGTACAGGCAGAGTACTTCTTGGAAGGAAAGATGGCAAGACGTCATCTCACTTTCTTTGGACATGTTATGAGGAGGGACCAGACCTTGTCATAACCTTCTTTGTTATTTCTTTATGTAATAGTATGCTAGATGCCTTGAAAAGTAGAATTATGCAGGGCCTCTACTGAATATTTAGTGTCATTTAGTGTAGTGACCCTGCAGGTGACAACCAGTAGTCCCTTCACAAGCAAAAACATTTGTTCGTTTATCATTTTTTAAATGTTCTTTATTTCATTATACATTAAACTCCAGTTTAGTGGTTATGTTTTGTGAATGGCCACAATGCTTTGTGATATCTTTGGTTGGTGTTGCTGAGAATTATTTATCATAACTATCAAGAAACTTTCATGGAACATGTAAATAAATGTTCATAGCATTGTTCCCTTTAAAATCTTTAGTTGTATAATGTTGAATTTTTACCCTTTAGAGGCTGTGTTAGCTAGAGGTTTCAGTTTATAGCTCTGAGTTCTCAGTTGGCTGTTTAGTTCATTCACACCAATTAGAGTTTCTGTTCCTTTTATTTGTAAACAAACTCCACTAGTATATATTATAAAATAAAAGTTAGCTGTTTTTAAACTTGATGCCACTTATTGCTGATGATTCTGAAAATTATGCAGTTTGTCATCATAATCCTAAACACTTTGGTATCAGAAATAGTTTTTGGGCTTCATTTAAAAAAAAAAAAATCTTTTTCTGGCTCTTAGGTGTCAAGCGAGCAAATTGTAGTAAGGTCACTTTATTAAAGTTGAGTAGGAGGAAACTAATTCTTTTGTTTGTTTGTGTTTTCATTCAATCTTTAGAATTTCAGGGAATTTTAAAGGTACTTTTCCTTGTCAAAAGATCATGCTTTTTATACTGTGGTGACACTGAACTATCTTTCATCTTTGGGAATTAAATCCCTTCCAAGATTCTTATTCCATAAACCTAGAAATGATTCCTGAGACATTTACTTTTTTATCAACTCAGTTTTTTCTTAATGTATATTGTTACAGAAACATTTACTCTGAAAGTCACCCATTCTCTGATTTAAAATAAGCAGCCTTTATTTAGAAGTTAATCAATATATCCACTCCGTATCTCTCCTTCAAAACATTTTATTCTTGGATTTTCTCTATATCCACAAAATTATTCTACCCCCATTTCAGCATTTCTCTGAATCAGTGATTTTTTGTTTGTTTTCTCCCTCAGACCTCTAGTTTACTTTTAAGACCTCAGACTCATCTCACCTTCAAATCTTATCTCTCTCTCTGAACTCTTTCTGTGAGCCTGACATCTCCAATTCTCTGCTAAGATACATACATTTGAATGCGTCATCATCACCCCAAACTCAAAATGACTAACAAAACTCATCCTCTTTCCTTTACATTCAATTTTCCTATTTGCTTTCTATATTTCTATCAGTAGTTGTCATTTGCCTATCAATTCACCTGTAAACCTTAGAGTCATCATTGCCTTGATCCTTTGAGATAGATACCAAGCAAGACCTGTTGACCCATATCATCCAAGTAAATTTTCTAAAATGAAAATTTGATGATATCAAACTATGCCTATAATATTTCAATGGGTCACAGTATAAATTTCAGACTTCATATCATGGCATGAAAGATGCTTCACTTTCTAGCCCCTCTCACCCTTTCTAATCCCTCCTTTGAACATCAGCCATATAGATCTATTTGTAAAGTTTTGAAAATGCCATGTTATTTTATTTCATTCCTATTGTTTGATTGATTGATTGATGACATTTTATTAGTCCTTCCTGGAAGACTTTTTCTTTCCTTCAAGACTCAGCTCAACAGTTACATTTTCTGAAGAGCTTCCCTAAATCTTCCTTGTAGACAAAGTTGGACATCCTGTTCCCAAAGTTCCCATTGCATCTTGTATTCTTATTATGACAATTATCATATAGCATTACAATTATTTATTCACATGAACTTCTTTCCTAATAAACTATGTATTTCTTGAGGACACTGATTTTTTGTGTCCATCTTTATAATCCCATGTCTTGGTCACCTAGTGCTACTATAATAGAAATACCACAAATAGATGGCTTTAAAGAACAGAAATTTGTTTTTTTATAGTTCAAACCACCCAAACCCAAACTTATTGCCATCAAGTTGATTCAGACTCATAGCAATCCCCATAGGGTTTCCAAGGCTGTAAATCCAAGATTGCTTCTCTTTCTCCCACAGAGCTGCTGCTGGGTTCCTTTGGTTAGGAGCCTAATGCCTTAACCACAGTACAGGAGGCCAGAAGTCTGAACAGATGGTATAGCTTTACAAGGAGGTCCTTCTTTATCAATTTTAACTTCTAGTATAGATGATCCTTGGAGTTCCTGGACTTACAGATTCATCTGCCTTCCATAGTCATTAGAAAGAGTCTGTCTTCCTCCTGAGTCTGCATGGCCTGATATCTGTGGCTGTTTTTTTTTTTTTTTTTTTAAATATATAGCTCATAAGTGCTTATGTTTCAGACACATCCTAAATTGGTATGACCTCATTAATATAACAAAGAGCAAAAACAGGATTATATCCACACGAATATGGGTTAGGATTTCAACACATATTTGGAGGGGATGCAGTTCAGTACATAACATCCTAGGACCTAGCACAAAACAGACAATAAAGTATTTGTTGAATCAATGATCCAGACTCATATTTCTTCGAACTCGAACACTAAAAGTGCCTTCTACCTAGTTTTCCTATATTCATTCTTTCCTGTCTCTGATCTATTCTGTATCTTGTCAACAGATTAATATTTTAGAAATAAATAGAACCATCAGGCCATTACCATATTCCCTCAAAGTCAGTAACTTCTTATTATCTAAAATTTTTAGACTGAAATTTAAGATACTCCTTAAGGTGGCCCCAAAACTATCTGTCACTTTAGCTATTAAAATGATCAGACAGGTTATTATTTGCGACAAGTGAGATATATTTAAAGTACTTTAAGATAAATATCTTGCAATGTTATTTAAATATGCCCATTGTTTCTCAGAGCAGATGGGACTCTTCATAAGGGCAGGATGGGTCTTTGGTCTTCTCCAAAGCATCTTCCAAATAAAATGCAGTCAGTTATCATTCACAAACACTCCCTGAACTCTCTGTTATGTCTTCTGTAATTGCTTTGCTTGGAGTGTTCTTTCTCAGCCTCCACTTATCAAGATTTTACCTACAGTCTAAGGCCTAACTCAATTACCAGTCTCCTTTGAAAACTTCCTTGATGCCTTTCCCTCCTACCACAAGGGAATAAGTCTCTTCTTTCTCTGTACCTGTTATATTCTTTTGACACCTCCATTCTGTCTTGCATTTTAGTTAATTGAGTACATATATTTTTCTGCCCACTATATTGTTGGTTTTTATTAGCCACATGTCTAAAATCACCTTCTCTAAACTTTTTCAAAATGAAATAATTGATATATAACTTCTGGAAGAAAAGCAATAAGATGAGGGAAATTTTCTCCTAATTCATACTTCTAAATTTATAATTTCATGTTATTATGAATAAAAATGTAAATACCTCTATTTAGAATTATTTATATGGTAAATGTTCTGATGGAATAATATAAAGATTATTTGTTTGTTTTAAGGGTTTCATTGGCTCTCCTGGAGAAGTAGGACAACTGGGACCTGAAGGAGAGAGAGTGAGTCCATTTCCTTCAAATATTATTTTCTAAAGTGAAATATTTATGGTAATGATGTATAAAAGGGGTCATAAATTCAAATGAAATAGGAGGCAGTCAGGTAATCTCAATGACTGAAGGAGGCCAAGTATAAGAAACATCAACTGTCAGAAATATAATCAAACTTTCTTGAATTTTATTATAAAGAAGTAATGTGATACAAAGATATATATTTGTTACATATTATATTCATAATCAAATTTGAGAAAAAGACAAATTGAAATATTAAAATGTTACTCATTAAAACTATTTTTTAATTTATTATTCTTTAATTTGAATGTAAAATCTTTTGTCCCATGGTGTTATTAGCAGGTCTTGTCTTTTGCAATTGAATGTGCAATAGAGAATTTAGCCTTAGAAGATATATTTTGTGCTTCATTTAATAATGGAAAATAACTGTTCATAACTGTAGGCTCTTATGAATAAAGGTGAAACCTTTGAAAAATGGTTTATTATACTTTTAAAAAATTGAAGATATTTGTACAGTTCTGGCATTCTAATGTCATGGTTTTCAGTACTATGTGCTGTCCAGTGATTTTAGTTATCATTTTTTATACTGTTAATATTATCTGAAAAAAACAGAATTCAACAATGTTAATATATTGTCATAAAGTTTAAAATTAGAAAATTATACTTGGACTTTAGATGCCACTTCTGCCACCATAAGAATGTAATTCAGGCCAAAATTTTCATTTCTGGAAACCAATTTTTGCAAATGAAAGTGAACCAGATTATTCTCTGCCAAATGAGTTTTTCAAATACATAGTTTTAAGGATGAGTAAATTATCTCACATTTTTTGTGTGTGATTACCTGTGAAAGCACCTGCAGAGAAAAAATATTTAAAGGTGCAGAGAAGAAATATTTAAAGAGTTAAATGTGCTTTAATAAAAATCAAAAAGTTCAGTCATCAGTGAGATCCAATGAACATTTTTCCTTGATATACATAAGAAGTCATTTCTTTCAATAGCAAAAAATTGTCTTCAGCATGATACCAAAACTAAGCCACTTAACCTTTAAGTGATTCAGCAAATTATTAATAGAAGATGTATTCAGTTTGTTAAACAAAGTATTGAACTGCTTTCTGTTAACCCAAAGGAGTGTATCTAGTTTGCATTGTTAATTATTCTACTCATGATACAATCTCTTCCTGACCTTTTGGCATGAATTTATTTCTAGTAAATGATGAAATAATATAATAAATAAACCAAAGTTATATATCCTTGCACAGTATTGTCATCTTGTATTAAAGTATCTTAAGCACAGTGTTGATAATGACTATCAATAGGCATATTTCCTGTAATCACTCTACTACTGACCAGTCTAGGAAAAATATCAAGATTTGTCTAATATTGTACCTACCATAGATCATGTCCCAATTTTATTTGACTACATCAAAATTATCATTAAAATCAAGAATGATACAGCTAACTGTGTCATTATTATGTTATGAAACATTTAGGTAGAGAAAAATATAAAATAATGTTAGTTACTACTGAAAACAAATGGAAAGAAAATGTCCTTTCTGGAAGTTAATATGGCACTTATGCATATGTATATATATGTATGATTATGTTCAAACAAAACAAAACAAAACAAAACTCATTGCTGTCAAGTTGAATCTGATACATAGCAACCCCTCCTTGGGTTTCTGAGGCAGTATCTCTATGGAAGTAGATTGCCCAGTCTTCATTTTGAGAAGTGGCTGGTGGGTTTGAACTGCCAGCCTTTTGATTAGCAGTCAAATGCCTTAGGCACTACGCCACCATAATATCTATAGGTTTCCTTCTTAGACTGAGTGAATATACTAAAGTTTGAGGAAGAAAATTAACCTATTGTTTATAACAATGATGGGCTGTTGTTTTGGTTACTTCGTGGAGCTCTAACAGAAATACTACAGGTGGATAGCTTTAACAAGCAGGAATTTATTCTCTCACAGTTTTGGAGGCTACAAGTCCAAATAGAAAATGCCAAGTTCTAGGGGCTAGGTGAAACCTTCAGCAGTTTTCAGCTCTGCCTCTTGCTCCTGGCCCACTGGAGATAGAAGTATCTCTTCACTCAGGCAGTTCCTGGCTGCTGATGCTACCAAGCCCTAGATTTACAAATAAAATGGCACAGTCCCGATATTACCAAACAAAATGGCAGGCCACTAGTTCAAGTTCAGAGACAGTCCAAGTTTGGCAGATAACATGGCAGGCTGCTAAATGAAGACTCAGCTTATATATATATAAGCACAGTGTCTAAGACATTTGACTGCTAACCAGAAGGTTGGTGCTTCAAACCCACCAGCAACTCTGTGGAAGGAAGACTGGGCAATCTACTGCCATAAAGATTTATCATCTCAGAAACCCAAAAGGGGTCGCTATGGGTCGGAACCGACTTGATGGCAGTGAATTAGGTGTGTGTGTATATATATATTTGTTGTTATGTACCGTCAAGTCAGACTCGACTCATAGTGACCCCTCCTTGGGTTTCTGAGGCAGTATCACTACAGAAATAGATTGCCCTATCTTCCTTCCAAGGAGTGGCTGGTGAGTTTGAACCGCCAGCCTTCTGGTTAGCAGTCAAGTGCCTTAGGCACTATGCTACCAGAGCATATATATATATATATATAACTATGCAAAGTACTTTATATGGAGTTATTACTTTATATGGAGTAACTACTGTCTGTCAGTTTGTCATACTGTGCTGGCTTATGTGTTTCTGTAAGGCTGGAGGGTATGCCACTAGCATTTCAACTACCAGCAGGGTCACCTATGGTGATAGGTTTCAATGGAGCTTCCAGACTAAGACAGACTAGGAAGAAGGATGGGGTCACCCACTTCTGAAAAAGTGTCCAGTGAAAACCGTATGAATAGCAGTGAAACATTGTCTGATATATTACTGGAAAACTTTATTAAAAGCTCTGAAACATTGTCTGATGTAGTGCCAGAAGATGAGCTCCTCAGGTCAGAAGGCACTCAAAATATGACTGGAGAAGAGCTGCCTTCTTAAAGTAGAGTTGACCTTAATGATGTGGGTGGAGTAAAGCTTTCAGGACCTTCATTTGCTGATGGGGCATGACTCAAAATGGGAAGAAACAGCTGCAAATCAGAATGTAAATATACAAAGTATGAATATGGGAAAATTGGAAGTTGTCAAAAATGAAATGAAATGCATAAACAACAATATCCTAGGTATTAGTGAGCTGAAATGATACTGGCCATCTGAATCAGAAAATCATATGGTCTATTATACTGGAATGACACATTGAAGAGGAATGGCATCACATTCATGGTCAAAAAGAATGTTTCAAGATCTATCTTGAAGTACAATGCTATCAATGACAGGATAATATCCTATGCCTACTAGGAAGACCAATTAATACTACTGTTATTCAAATTTATGCACCAACCACTAAAGCCAAATATGAAGAAATTGAAGATTTCTGCCAACTTTTGCAGTCTAAAATGGACCAAACATTCAATAAGATGTATTGTTTATTACTAGTGACTGGAATGCAAAAGTTGGAAACAAAGAAGAATCATTAGTAGTTGGAAAATATGGCCTTGGTGATAGACAGAAATGATGCTTGAGATCACATGATAGAATTTTGCAAATACTTTTTTTCAACAACATAAATGGTGAATATATATGTGGACCTTTTCAGATGCAATACACATGGGTCAGATCCACTACATCTGTGGAAAGAGACAATGGATAAACTCAATATATTTAGTAAAAACAAGACTACCAGGAGCTGACTGTGCAATAGACCATCAATTGTTCATTTGCAAGTTCAAGTTGAAGCTAAAGCAAATTAAAGCAAGTCCATGAGAACCAAAATACGACCTTGATTATAGCCACCTGAATTTAGAGACCATCTGAAGAATATATTTGACTTACTGAACATGAATGACCAAAAACCATATGAGTTGTGGGATGACATCAAGAATATCATATGTGGAGAAAGCAAACCATCATTAAAAAGACAGAAAAGGAAGAAAAGACCAAAGTGGATGTCAGATGAGACTTTGAAACTTGCTCTTGAATGGAGAGTAGCTAAAGCAAATGGAAGAAATGATGAGATAAAAGAGTTGAACAGAAGATTTCAAAGAGCAGCTCGACCAGACAAAGTATTATAATGAAATGTGCAAAGACCTAGAGTTAGAAAACCGAAAGGGAATAACATGCTTGGCATTTCTCAAGTGGAAGGAACTGAAGAAAAAATTAAGCCTTGAGTTGCAATATTGAAGATTCTATGGGCAAAATATTGGTTGATGCAGGAAGCATCCAAAGAAGATGGAAGGAATACACACAGTCACTGTACCAAAAAGAATTGCCCAGTGTTCAATTATTTCAGGAGGTAGAATATGATCAAAAGCCAATGGTATCGAAGAAGTAGAAGCTGCATTGAAGGAATTGGTGAAAAACAATGCTCCGGGAACTGACAGAATACCCACTGAGATGTTTCAACAAAGTGACTCAGCACTGGAGATGCTTACTCATTTATGCCAGGAAATTTGGAAGATAGCTACCTGACCAACTGACTGGAAGATATCCACATTTGTGCCAATCCTAAAGAAAAGTGATCCAACAGAATGTGGAACTTATCGAACACTATCATTAATATCAGCCCCAGAGTTACAGGTGAGGAGAGACAACTCAGGGACACCCAAAGTAGCAGGCAGGAAGAGCAGGAGAAAGGGGATTAAAAGGCAGGAAGCCAGAGAGAAGAGCAATCAGCCAAAGGGATTAGGTGAGGAGAGGAAACTCAGGCCCACCCGGAGTAGCAGGCAGGAAGAGCAGGAGAAAGGGGATAAAAGCCAGGAACCTGGACAGAAGAGCAGTCAGCCCCAGGGTTACAGGTGAGGAAAGACAACTCAGGGATGCCCAAAGTAGCAGGTGGGAAGAGCAGGAGAAAGGGGATTGAAAGCCAGAAAGCCAGAGAGAAGAGCAATCAGCCAAAGGGACTAGGTGAGGA